GAGATGAAAGTAGACATCCAAGAAGCAAGAACACCAAACTACCATGATGATAGGAGAAATACAGCAAGACACATCACAGTAAAACTATACCAAGAATACAAGACAACGAAACGATATTGAGAATGACAGAGGGAAGAAACAAATAACCTATAAAGGGAAACCGATCAGGCTGACATCAAACTTCTCTGAAGAAACACTACAGACAAGAAGAGAGTGGAAGGACATACTCAACAAATTCCAAAACATCAAATGTCAACCAAGAATACGCTATCCTGCTAAGGTCTCCTTCCTTTACGAAGAAAGAATAAGGACACTTTCAGACAAACAAACTCCACAATTTTGTCATGACTATACCCCCACTCCAAAAAAATACAAGAAATCCAACAGATGAACAAGAACAGTTCAAAACAAGGAATAAAATCACAAAAGGACCAAAAAAAAAGGCAAACATAGGTGCCAGTATATCAATATTATCTCTAAATGTAAATGGCTTAAACTCATCAATAAAAAGACGCAGAGTTGCAGGATGGATTAAAAAACAGAACCCAATGTTCTGCTGTCTACAGGAAACACATCTAACTACAAAAAATAAAAACAGATTGAAAATAAAAGTATGGAAAACAGTCCTAAAAGCAAATGGACCAAAAAATAAGGCAAGAACAGTTATACCAGACAAAACAGACTTTGAACTAAAAAAAGTTAAAAGAGACTTCTAGGCCACTACATCATGATTAAGGGGACAATAAAACAAGAAGACATAACAATCATCAACATATATGCACCAAATGAAAGAGCACCAAAATATATCAGGAAACTACTGTCATCTATGAAAATGTATATCAGAGAAAATACATACACAGTAGGAGACTTCAATATGCCACTCTCCACAATGGACAGATCAGCAAGACAAAAAATAAGCAAAGACACTAAAGCTCTGATCAAGGACCTGGACAAAATGGGTCTAACAGACATCTATAGAATACTGCACCCCAAAAGTCCGAGTACACATTTTTCTCAAATTCACATGGATCATTCTCTAGGATTGACCACATACTGGGTCACAATATGTACACTAAGATAGAAATCATACCAACTCTCTTCTCTGACCATGAAGGAATCAAACTAGAAATAAACCATGTGAAGAAGGCAAGAAGCCCATCTACCACACGGAGACTGAAACCCACACTACTGCAGGACCATTGGATCAATGAAGAGATCAAAGAAGAAATTAAAAAACACCCTGAGAAGAATGACAATGACGACACAACTCTCTAAAATTTATGGGGCACATTAAAAGCAGTTATAAGAGTAAAATATATGTCAATACAGGCTCACACAAAGAAACAAATAACTCAAAGAAACAACCTAATCTCCCACCTTAAAGAACTGGAAAAAGAACAACAAAATAACACAAAAGCCAATAGAAGACAGGAACTAATAAAAGTCAAATCAGAAATAAATGAAATGGAAGTTAGGAAAACAATAAAAAAAAAATCAATGAAACCGAAAGTTGGTTCTTAGAAAAAATAAACAAGATGGACAGGCCACTAGCCTGTCCCACTGCTGGTGGGAATGCAAACTAATACAACCGCTATGGAAAACTGTTTGGCGTTTCCTCAAACTGCTAAAAATGGAGCTTCCGTGTGACCCAGCAATCCCACTCCTAAAGCTCTACCCAAAAGACACAAAAACACTGATTCAAAAAGATACCTGCAGCCCCATGTTTATTGCTGCTTTATTTACAATTGGAAAGACATGGAAACAGCCCAAATGCCCAAAAATAGATAACTGGATTAAAAAGTTATGGTACATATACACAATGGAGTATTACTGAGCAACTAAAAAAAATAAGCACATACCTTTTGCAGCAAGCAACATGGATGCAGCTGGAAAAGATAATGCTTAGTGAAATAAGCCAGAAAAAAAAAAGGAAAAATACAGGATTGTTTCACTCATAGCAGGAGTATAGCAGACCAGGTGAGAAAATTATAATAATAATGAACAGCTACATACCAGACACATTTTATGAGGGTAGAATGGGGATCAAAAACAGTAGGGGGAAGGAAACGCACTGGACTATGTTGATGGCACATAGGTGATTTGGTGATGGGAACATCACGGGGATTACAACTGAGACAGAAATATGCACAAAATAATGTAAAATTAAACTATTATATTATTTTAAAAAAAGATGTGGTACATATACACAATGGAATATTACTCAGCAACCACCAAAAAAAAAAAAATAAGCACATGCCTTTTGCAGCAACATGGAAGGAGCTGGAAAAGATCATGCTTAGTGAAATAGCCAGAAAGAAAAGGAAAAATACCGGATGGTTTTACTCATAGCAGGAGTATAAAGGACCAGCGAGAAAATAATAATAATAATAATAACAAATAACTATATATCAGAGACATTTTTTATGGAGGTGGAATAGGGAATCGGATAAAAAATGGAGTGGGTAGGGAAGTGCACTGGATTATGGTAATGGCACATGGGTGATCTGGTGATGGGAAGCCCATGGGGATTACAACTGAGATGGAAAAAGGCACAAAATGATGAAAAATAAACTATTATATAATTAAACACACATATCCAAAGTCTATAAAACTAAAACACACACACACACACAAAAGTCTATAAAATGACTAAAAAAAGTAAGACTTTACAAAGACTATGCATTAAAAAATATCAAGTTAGATGGAAAACATAGGACTCTATGTAAATATTATCATGGTGCCTAATACAATTTTTTAATGAACAAGTATCTTTCAACCCCTTCAACTTAACACTTAGCTTACACTATGGCAAGTAAAAATCAAAGAACAAAAGAACAAGTTTATGGTTTAAACATAGACATATTCATAGCATTTGCCTCAGCCATGTAATATTCATTAACTTTTGTAAGCAAAAATCACTAAAAAAATTTACTAGGATCTACCAATACTCCAAGTTAAAACCAAAGAATCTTGTGTCTAAATTATCACTAGCAAAAATCCTTGCCACAGGAAGTCAGTTTCATTCAAGGATTTTTAGAGTCTATTATTTGAAATCATCAGATATGTATGACTAAACCACAGAAGACCTTGGCTAATGTGGTGAATGGTATTTAAGCACAAATTCAGAATTAAGCTATTTTTTTAGCCCCAGTTCTTAAAAGTTCATATAGTTAAACACATAAGACCTGAAACCATAAGCTATCTATAAGAAAATATAGGCAAAACACTACATGACATACAATGTATATTGGTAATATCTTTAAAGGCACATCACCTAAACCAAAGAAAATGAAGTAAAACATTTGGGATTGCATCAAATTACAGAACTTCTGCACAGTGAATGAGACATTAGCCAAAACAAAGAGACACTCCACTGATGACAATTTTTGCGCACAATACTAATTCATACTAATGATAAGGGACTGATCACAGATATCTACAGATTTAATGAAGCTCAACAAAAACAAAGTAAGCAACCCAGTCAAATAATGGGCAGAAGAGCTAAAAAGACACTTTTCCAAAGATGAAATCCAAATGGCTAACAGGCATGTGAAAAATGTTCAAGATCACTTGTAATCAGGGACATTCAAATAAAAACCACAATGAGATATCACCTCACACCAGTGAGAATGGCACATATTAAAAAAACTAGCAACAACAAAGTTGACAAGGTTGTGGAGAAAAAGAACTCTCCTGCACTGCTGGTGAGAATCAAACCTCTTCCACCACAATGGAAAGCTGTGTGGATGTTCCTCAAACTACTAAAAATGGAACTTACATATGATCCAGAAATTCCACTCCTAGGGATCTACCCAAAAACTTTTTTTTTAAAAAAGATTTATTTATTTATTTATTTATGAACTGGGGTACAGGCCAGAGGCTCAGGGGCTGTGAGAGGCTTCACCAGAGACAGAGTGGGGAGCAGAACAGGCAGATGGACGAAGTACACTGCTGAAGGGAGCAGCGGGCGGGTCAGGAGAGGTCTGCCACGCCATGTGGTCTCCTCCCGGGCAGGCGGGGATCGAACTCATGCGGAAGCGGCTTTAGATTCTCAGTGCTGTGCTTTAACCCGCTGCACCACCAGGGAGAGCCTCTACCCAAAAACTTTAATTCAAAAGGCCACTTGCACCCCTAAGTTTACTGCAGCCCAATTTACTACAGGTATGCAGCCCAAATGCCCAGGATCAGGGCAGGAGTGGAGAGAGCACAAAGGACTACGCTGGTGCACAGGTGAATTAGTAGTGACAATTTCACAGGGAAATCATACATTGTACAAAAATGAAGGATGATATGACTAATATATTTTTTTTAAAAAGTTCATACAGTTACAGTAATACAAAAGCTATTTAGTTAGGCCAAAAGCCATAGTGAAGGTTTGGAAAATATGGTGACACGTGTTACTGGATTTATTTTCTGGAGTATGTTGACACGTGTTACTGGATTTATTTTCTGGAGTAGGCTAATTCTCCCTGAAATATTCTCTGTATGACAGTGACACATAATCTTTATTTCTTCAAATATTGAAATAAAAATGTCAGTGTTTTAAAGACTACCTTTTATTTTATTTAGTAAGAACTGTTTCTCTGGTTATGCTATCTGGTTATGCTAACCAAGAAAAAAAGGTACTTACAGATAAAAGTAGCTGGTGCTAATAGGTACTTAGGAGGTTAGCTTTTTATTAAACACAGCATTGTCAGCAATCATCCCTTTGCCTCCTGCAGGTCCATTAGCTCACTCACATGGGATTTCCTAGCTAAATTATTTGGTGAACACTAGGGCCAGAGGCAGTGATGATTCAGTGGCTGATACCAGATGCTGAACCAGCAAACATTCCCCAATAGCAGATTTATGCTGTGAGTAACTTTAGCTTTATGGCTTCTTTAATTCAAATCTTGATATTCAGTAAAATCTACCTCCACATTAAAATAAACTGATACAGCATGTGGCAATACAGAAGAAAATAAAACACAGTGAAATAGTTCAAATAAAATGTAGAATACCTTTTTTTTAGCCAATTCCTTTTCCAGATTGCATTTTTCTTGTGCTATTTCTTTCTCTGCTTTATTAACCTGTCCAAGGGGGAAAAAAAGAAATGGATCAATTTTAAAGCAGCTGACAGGCTATACTATAGCAAACATACCCTGCATGTCAATTAATACCTACACTGCAGAGATAGCACATCCTCTCAGAAAAGGGGTCACTCAGGAAGTCTCTGAGGCAGAGCAGACTTCACAAAAAGCCCTGAAATTAGAAAGACACGTCTGCATGTCAGACTCTGCTAGTTCTTTCCTAACTAGGAAGATAGGGCTGTTCCCCTTTAATTTCCATTGTCCCAGTCATTCAGGGGAAATCAATTTTTAAAATATGATCCCTTAACTAACATGAGGATGTGTTATTCATATTCACTAATGTTGTGGAAGGGCATACTAGTTGACAGGCTACTTTAAGATATACTAAATGATTAAGATTAGTCACCTAAAACATTCTTTTGTGGGCAACTCAGAACAACTGCTTCTGGGTTGTAATTTCTTGCCTTTTGCATTCAAAATGAAATTTTAAAATAAGATCACCACCACAATCAGGAGGTAACATAGATCTCCTTCTGCCTACCTCTTTCTGAAGTTTTTCTTTCTCCTCTAGTAGAGATTTCTTCTCTTGCACTGATGCATCCAATTCACCTCGCAACCTTGTAATAGTTAACTCTAGGAGCTCTTTTTGCACAGTTGTCCTCTTCTCGGCATCCTGTGCTTTTTGGATAGACTGGTTATGTTCCAGGATTAAATGGTCCCTGTAGGAAGAGAACAAAGATATATAAAAGCTAAACAACAGTTAGTCCACAGATAGAATGTTAGAAAACATCTCTCGACTGAGCGCTGTTGCTACAATGTTGAAAACACATCTTGTTACTTGAAGGTGGAGTCTAAAGAAATTGCAAGGATCTCAAGTCTGCCCTTGCAAAAGCAGAGTTAAACATTTTCAGTAAGGGAGAAAAGTGGGAGAAAAGCAGAAGGAGGGACTATGATGATGGTTCATAGGTGAATTGGTGTTGGAATTTTACAGGGAATACACAATGATGAAAAGATATAAATAAAATTATTTAAAAGAAAAGGATAAGCACTACATATGCAAGACCAGAAGATGCATAAGAAATTGTCCATAATTTACTTACAGTTGTGCTTGGAGTTGGGTTTTCTCATTCTGAACCATCTGTAGCTCATTTGTGATACTGGCATGGGCTGCATCCAGTAGTAAGTTCTGTTCTTGAAATGTCTGAGTCATCATTTTTTGTTTTACCTGAGTGTTAAAATGTTAAAAGCTGATATGCTGGAAAGTCATTCAATAGGGTGCCATTTAACATAACTGGTCAAAGATGTTGAATTGGCTTACAAAAGACAAATTTTACTTTTGCCCAGCTTTCTCTGCTCTCACCCCGAATTGACCACAATGCTATCATTTTACAACCCTACAGTCAACAGCCAAAATGTATTGTTTACCTAGCCCACTGCAAAACTCCTAACATAAGCATGTTTTTAAAGATATAAATTACATTAAGAATATTTTTTTGTGGGGCATCCCTGGTGGCACAAGAAGTTAAATCACAGCATTATGAAGCTATCGACAGCACGGAGTCTGACCATCCCTGGCTAGGGAGCTACCTACATGGCCCCGCAGATCTCTCCTGCCTCATCTGCTGCTCCCTTCAGCAATGTGTTTCAGTAGACCTGTCTGTTCTGCTCTCGACTGGATCTCTGGCATATCCTCATTGCCCTCCCTCCCCCACCCAACACCTCTGGTATGTACCCCAGTTCTTATGTACATATTTTTTTTAAAAGAATATATTTTGTACATATTTTATTTTAAAAAGTAAAACTGTATCAATGTATGGAAAGCGAAAGATCCCTCAACCTTTAGCTCTGTCCCCACCCCAAATAATCTCACTAGAGATTATCATGTTTACTAATTTGGCGTGAATTCACTGGAGAATATCTGAAATTACACTCCAGTACTGTTATACTAATAAACTGCTCTGCACAATTTATTTTCTCTGACATACTGATTTGTTATCAAAAAATAATTTTACATGCACACACTATAATTTCTAAGCCTCTTGCAAATATGTACATATTAATAGTTATTTCATATGTGGACAGTTATATAAGGAGATGCATATGAAGTTTCATAAATTGAATAAAAAGATTTTAGAACGTTTTTATATTTGTTACAGTGTATATATGTAACATTATTTGGTCTACTAAATTGAGGTTCTATGAAAATAGGTATTTTGTTTTGTTCACTACTATAATTCTATTTCTATTTAGCATCATATCTGCATGATGTAAACAATAGATGTTTGCTGAATTAACACAAAATTTGTATCAAGTACCAGTTACATTCAAAGCATGCTTATTAGCGCTATGAGCAATAACAAAGTTATATGAGGTAAGCTCACAATATAGAAAACAGCCTTGCACATTAATTACTACCATAGTGAATAGAAAAGCAACATTAACATAATGATTAAACATTAATTTTGGAGTCAGACTTAGGCTTAAATCCAGCTCTGTTCCTTAGCTAGGTGACTGCAAGAAAGTTGACTAACTTCTCCACCTTCACTTTTTCTTATCTATAAAATGAAGATAATGCATATCCCTTTATATAATGGCTACTAGGGTTAAAAGAAGTAACATACATAAAATCCTTAACATAATGCTCCGTATATAGTAAGTATACTCAAAAACTGAGTTATTTTTATTATGGTCTGTTTAGTGTGCTAAAATAGAAGTTGAAAGAGAAAATCAATTTCTTCTGGTTGGAGTGATCAAATTTCTTGAAGAAAGAGTCTTACACAGAACAGAAAAGTCTGAGTCTTAAACAGAACAGAATTCTAAATAGTTGAGGACCACTCTCAGCAGAGGGAACAATAGAAACAAAATGGGAAAGTGTAGCTGTTTGGGGAAAACACAAGTATTTTAGGGTAAGTCATAAGTGTTTTCCATCATTCTATAAGTAATGAGTGGTAACTTACTTTTCCTAAAGTAGTGGTATTTAAGAAGAAAAACACTAATAAAGCAGCATATGTAAGACCAAATAACTGCCTGATGAAAACACTGATTAAAAAATATCTTTCAGAAATTCTTAGATTTGTTAAAATTATTTATTCAGTTGATCATGTACATTTCCTTATTACTTAGCCAATGAGCTTCTTGTTGACTCTGAAACTGACTACTGTTAATACCTGCAAAATTGCTTGATGGTCAGCAATGATTCTGGCATTTTCCAAATTAACAGTCTGAAGCATGCTGTTCAGTTCTGTACACTTTTTAGTCAGCTGATCATTCAAAACCTAAGATATCATATACAATAAGTCAGATATCTACAATAATTATTTTATGTATCATTTCACTACACATGTGAAGTAGCAATTCACTACACATGTGAGCTTTATTTAACCCATCTTCAATTTATGTTTCATAAACTATAAAATACTTTCAAATATTTGGAATCAACACCCTAAATATAACTAAGTTAAAAGAAAAGAAACACATTATTGATTTGGTGAAACAACTAAAGTACTCAGAAGTTTAGGGATTTTCATGTTTCACAGTTTGAACAATGATCAATTAATTAGAGCAAAAGATCTGAAGAATGGAATTTATGAAGTAGACACACACAAATGTATTATAAAATTAGATGATAAATGTTCAGAATTGTTTAGCTGATAACATAAACTATCTCTAAGCTCCTTCAATACCAGTTACAGTGTTCATAAAGGCAAAATAGACATGTCTATTTAATGTCACAAAATCTTCCAAAATAAAACAAAAATGTTTTGTATAATAGATCTCTCATACATGTAGTTGGTTAAAAATCTTTCATCCTTGTTACTCAAATTTGTGAATATTCCAAATACTGTGCAATACATTTATTTTACCTCAATTATCTTTATAAGGACTATTTGGCGAGGATCTTATGTTTCCATGATTAAATTATTAAAGGAAAGGGACAAATAACTCTGAAGGACCAATAGGAAAAAAAAAACAAACAAAAGTGGCTATGTTAAACACAAAAGCTACACAACAAAGGAAATATTTAAATGAATACACATCCTACTGAATGAAAGAAAACATCTGCACATCATATAACCAACAAGGAGATTGAAGATCTACAAAGAACTCATAAAACTCAACAACAACCCCCCCCAATAATCCAACAAGAGGAGAAAAAATTGAAATAGACATTTGGAAGACATATAAATAGTCAATAAACACATGAGAAAAATGCTCACCACCACCTGTCATCAAGGAAATGCAAATCAGAACCACAGTGAGCTACCACTTCACTACTGGGAAAATAGCCCATATCAAAAAGACCACAAAGAACAAGTGTTAACAAGGGTGTAAAGAAAAAAGAACATTTATACCATATTAGTGGGAATGTAGACTGGTCTAGCCCCTGTGGAAACCAGTATGGAGGTTTCTTGAAGTATTAAAAATGGATCTACCATGGCCCTCCCTGGTGGCACAGCAGGTTAAACCACAGCACTAAGAAGCTAAAGCCAGTTCAGCACAAGTTCGATCCCACCCAGGAGGTGACCACATAGCATGGCAGACCTCTCCTATATCACCCGTGGCTCCCCTCAGCAATGTACTTCGCAGATCTGCTCCCTGCTCTGTCTCTGGTGAATCCTCTCACTGCCTCTGCACCTCTGGCCTGTACCCAGCTCTGTAAGCATAAACAAATCTTAAAAAAAATGGATCTACCATATAGTCCAGCAATTCTCTTCCTAGGTATCTATCTGAAGAATTTAAAAACTACTTCAAAGTGATATATGCATTCCTGTGTTCATTGCAGCACTACTGTCAATAGGCAAGGTATGGAAACAATCCAGTGACTGTGGAAATTAAGAAAATTTATTAAGAAAATATGGTACATATACAAAGTGGGCTTCCATCCAGTGATAAAAAATGAATTCTTGTCGTTTGCTATAACATGGAAGGAAATGGAGGGGATAATGCTAAGCAAAAAAGTCATAAGGAAAATGGCAAATATTGCATGACTTCACTTACATTTCAAATATAAAAATACAAAAAAAAAGGTTCAACCAAAAACAATCTAATATAAACCCGTACATATATGTATGCAGAATTTAGGTTGCCAAAGAGCTGGGAAAGGGTAGAAAGCAAAGTGTGGAAGGGAACAAACAGACCATGGTGGAAGAATATGGGTGCCTTGGTGATAGATGTGGTGTGATGATAAACACTAAAAAGTGTGAACCTATACTCCTAAGTCGTATACAATGTTATAAAACAATGTTGCTCAATAATTATATATATCCATATAAATTAATATACCATTTATGTGTAGGAATTTTTTTAATGGCTCAATAATAAATGAACAATTACCTAGAAAGCATCATCAAGTATATGTACAGTATAACAGTTAGGAATAAAATGAAGGTATTTCAGACTTTTTAACAAGATGTACAAAGTATTCATCAAGTAATACAAAATACAAGATAAAAGAGACAGAACTCTTTCTCTTTAAAACAGCTGGGCCCTCCCTGATGGTGCAGCGGGTTAAAGCACAGCACTAAGAAGCTTAAGCCACCTCCGCATGAGTTCGATCCCTGCCTGTCCCAGAGGTGATCCACATGGCGTGGCAGACCTCTCTTGACCTGTCCGCTGCTCTCCTCAGCAGTGTACTTCGATGATCTGCCTGTTCTGCTCCCCACTCAGTCTCAGGTGAATCCTCTCACCCTCCGCACCTCTGACCTGTACCCCAGTTCTGTATAAATAAATCTTTAAAAAAAATAGACCAAATAAAACAAAATAGCTTATTTTCTTTGCAGTCACATTAATTCTACCAGTTATCAGCTAAACTCCTCTGTGTATCATCTTTAAGATGGAAGTAATTTTTCTATGTTATTGTGAAAATCACAAATTTAGTAACATAGTGCTTAGAATAGTGCTTAGAATTGTGTCTGCAATATTGTATATGTTCAATAACTGTTAACTATTATTAGTATAGTAAGAGCAATAGCAGTAATTATCAAAAGAACCCATTTACAATGCATTTTCTTTGTCATAAAAAGAATGTAACACTCTAATCCTAACATTAATCAAATTGTGCCATCAAAAATGTCTTTTAAAGGTTTATTTCATTAAGCCTTATGAGAAATGACTCCAGTTTGCCTACACACTGTTGACTCTTCTCCATACACATCCATATATAACAACTAAATTTGGGAACCAAATTCCACAGAACATGGTTATTACAAAATCCAGCAAACATTAGGTTCCTACTATGCTATTAAACTATGGAAGATAGAAAATTATAGGATGTATTCTGTGTCAATGAACTGCCTAGAAGTTCACTGGGAGAAATTAAAGATATATATCTAATGAATAAATTAGAAAGCAAAAAAAGGCAAAATGCATAATTCAGCAATATATTATATATATTTGGGTGTCATAAGAGCAAATTTAGAAAGCAAAATGAGAAATGTTTTAATTAATTAATTCAGTAATGTTTTTCAGATAAAGTAGACCTTATAAACAGAATGAATGATGGCAATGGTATGAAAGCAAAGACTCTTGGTTCTTTAAACAAAAATAGCCATCTAAAAACTATAGAATGGGAAAGTTTACCTGTGCTTTTTCTGATGTTTCTTGAAGGGATATTATTTCAGACCTCAAATATGCATTTTCTTCCTTTTCTTTGTTGAAAGACATCTGTACATTCTATGGGGGGGAAAGTTTCTTTTTTTATATTTAGGAGCTATTAAAAATATCTATTAAAGTACTTTTTCTGGTATTTTGACAAGTACCAGCTGAAGTATGTTTTTTTTATTCTTTATCTTCAACCTCCAAACTTTATAATTATCAAAATTGCTTTAAAATATTTTTGTAATGGGATTCCTACTAGAAAGAATTTACCTAAAACCTAAATATTTATCTAGCATCCTGTGTCGAGAGTGGTACTAGGATGAAATATTTGTTGTATTATGTAGACTTTTTTTTCCTATTAGCATAAGAGCTTGTAATTTCAAAGAAAACACCTTCAAGGATCTTTTAACTTTTTAGTAGGTGAAGATATTTTCATTTAGGAGCACCTGAGGATATAAAAGCAGAAGAAAGCATCTTTGCTCTGTGGGAAAGAGAAAAAAATAGCTAATTCTCTGAGTGGAGGTACAGGTGATAGGATACGAGTTGTGGGTTGACTTTCCCTAAAAGGTAACTCAGTTCTTTTCCTGAAGGACTGGGAAATGAAAAGTTAACGTCTTCTCTCTACAGAAAGATCACCACTCTTCTGTTTATCCAGAAACATCTCTAGCAAGGTAAACATCACATCCTATTTCAAATAGGATCTACATAAGATATAAAAGTAGTGACACTTTTTTTTCATTTATTATGGTAAACTATACATAAAATTTATCATTGTAACTATTTTAAGAGTATAGTTAAGTACAGTTTGAAGTGTGTAGTTCATTTAAGTGATAAATTCAGTGGCAGTGGTATATTTACTTCGTTGTGCATCCATCACCACCAAAAAAGAAGTCAACATTTCTTATAACTATTTCTTTAATCTGTAAAACTTTAGTTTGTAATTAGCATAAAATACAAATAAACCCACTTAAAGATTTACTACCCGGTTCATAAAAATACTAAATAAACAACTCATTTACACTGAAACCCTTTTTCAGGAGAAGAGTATCGATCATCATGAATGAAGAAATACTTAGGGAGGATATAGTCTAAAACCTCAAAACTTACCTTATTTTCGTCAACCAACTTAGAAATGAGGTCATCTCTAGAAACTAAAAACAAAAAGTCCATGTAACTGTATGGCATTTACTAAATTGAAATCACTTGTATTTTTCCCCTGGAGAAAATTGGGATTTTTTTGTTTGTTTGTTTGTATGCTAGAGAAAGAGAATACACTTTTTTTTGATATTTTTATAGACATATGGAGTTATCAAGAAACCAGACTAGAGTCATGTGCAATGGAAAAATGAGGTCACATTTTACTTCTCTGCCTAGATGATGATAAATTTCATCTCACAGGGAGAAGCACTCAATGGAAAGCTTCTTGCTAGAGAGATACCACTCTATCAGAGGCTCAATAAAGACAGAAATCAGTTTGGTAGCTATTACAATAACCTAAGTATAAAACTGAGAGCTGGCTCTAAGGTAACCACAATGGGTCTGCAAAGGCAATAGTGTGCAGGGAGAACTGTCAGGACATGGTGGCTGACTGGTATGGTGTTAAGGAAAATATTCAGTATTTAGTTTCGACAGCAGGGACAAGGATGAACTCTTCAACTAGGGCAAGGACAGGCTTAGGGGGATTAAAATGAGTAAGAATGAGTGCAATACTTTAGTTTTCATCATGTGTTTCAAGATATCTGCAAGACATCCATATATAGATGTTTAGTTGGCAGTAAGATACCATCTGGAGCTCAGGAGGATGATCTTGTATGAGAAAAAAAAAGATTTGAAATTACTCAAAGTATATGAAAATAAAACCAAATGCAAAAAAGCAAGGAACTTTGTATACTAGTAGCCAAAAAATGTAAAATATCCTAAGAATAATGTTCTGGTTTCATGCAAATTTATAAAGCTCTATTAGTTTCTTTTAAATTACCAAATATTTTAAATTATCAAAATAACAAGAAACTTCTAACATAAGAACTCATTTATATGATATACTAAAAAAAAAACTTTTGAACATGAAGACTCATTTCAAATAAATTCAAATTTAAAATATGAAGAATCAAAGATAAAACTATATAATTTATTTTTTAAATTCCACCTATCAAGTCCTCAGTATCGCAGTGGGTTAAAGCACTACACTAAGAAGCAAAGCTACTTCAGCATGAGTTTGATTCCCACCAGCCCCAGAGGTGATCCATATGGTGAGGCAGACCTCTCCTGACCCACCCGCTGCTCCCCTCAGCAGTGTACTTCCTCAGTCCGCCTGTTCTACACCTCATCATCTCTGGCGAATCCTCTCATTACCCCTGCACCTCTGGCCTGTACCCCAGTTCTGTATGCATAAATAAGTAAACCTTTAAAAAAATTCCACTATCAAAGAATGAAAGGGATTGTTTCCTGGAAGATCAATTTAATCACTTTAATTAGCATGTATATGTTTACTGCTAATATGAACAATTGTTAAACATTACATTTTTAAATTCATAAAAAAATCCTTTTATGTAATGACAATTTGTATATATGTTAATAACTATTTGTACCTGAATATATCATGCATATGAAGAGAATTATTCAGTATGAAACATAGTATTCAGACAGGCTTTCTTCATATTAATTTGAGTGACTTTTTTTTAAAATGGTCTCCCATCTATTCTTTACAAAATTTGAATCAAAACATTAATCCATTGAAAAAGTAACATGAAAGAAATCAGTTAGAAAGCTTTCTAGTCTATTAGAAAGACCTCTGTTTTTAGTCTTACCTTTTTTTTTTTGTCATTGGATATAGGTCTTATTCTTTGGTAGAATGAAGCATATTTTCTCTTTCTCATGAGTTTATTTGTAAGGCCAATGAGATGTGGCAGCAATATGAAACATAACACATAACTTTCATAGGCATGTTGCCACAGGAATATGGAGCATTAGCAACCAAGAATTTCAGGGTCACTGTGCAGCACACACACTTAATGCTAAAAGCAGCAAGTCAAAATATTGAATGATTAACTTTTTAAATAATTTTTGTTTACCTTATGACATTCTTTACCCCCATATTATTGCCACAGAGCATAAAAGGGATGCTGGCAAAAACGCTAAGCTTTTAGTTTGAATATTCAGATTCAGGCTTTACTTAGCTGTTTATTCATTATAACTTTCATTTTTTTAATAATACAGTTAGTTCTGCATATTATATGAGATCATTTGTGAGTGCAGAAAAACATGAAATATTTTTGTGTCAGGTTCATGAGGCTATCTGACAACTGCTTTGCAGTAATATATTAAATTTAATATGGTTAAGGGGCTGAAAGGCTGGAAGAAGCCTCACTTAGATTACCTGGAGTCACATCAAAACCTCTATTTCTTCATATTTGACTTTTTTTTATAGTCTGTTTACTCACGTGTAAAATGAGATCATTCTTAGCTCTCTGGGGTACCTTATGGTTATCCATTTCTACAAATGCAGGTTAACCACAATAGACTGATAACATGAAGAATGAAAACTTCGACTTGAAAAATTGTTAGACTCAGGTTTAAAGGATTAATGGCCTATGTTCTTACCAACATTCTACTATCCAACTTCAATTTAGTTTTCTACAAACCTATAAAGAAACCTGAAAGTTTAAAGAGTAACATAATTAAAAGAGCTAAATTCCATTTTATTATGAATATTCTTTCTTTCCTCTCAGTGCCAGATATAGGAAGGAAATGAACAATTTTTTAAAATATATATTTAGGCCTGTGGCAATAACAGTGACACTAGGCACTTCAAGAATTTGGGATCTTAACAGTTCATCCATGAAATTTCAGAAAACTAACACTGTTAATTTCTAGTATCTATTTTCATACTTAGGTCAGACTTGAGCTGTGAGGTGGCTGTTTCTAGCTCTCCTTTTTTTTGTTGCTCCTGTGTCAGTAGTTCTTGGGTGGTCTGTATAGAATTGCGTAGGGCAACGCAATTTTGCTGCAAAATTTGCACCTGAAATTGTATAAGAAAAACTTTTCTATAACGTAAAGATTTCTTAACAATACCTTACAGTACATGTGTAAGAAATATTTTCTAACCTTAATGTTGCAGGAGGGAAAAGGGGAGTTATCTATATGATACAGTCAAATATATCAAGCATACAGTGACTTATAGCTGCACCATCCATAGAACTTTGTTTAACTACTGATTGCCTTGCATATATTGAATTTTAAAATATCATAAGTTACAAGTATTGACCTCAGATAACAGCTATGATGTTATCTGAAAATTAAAAACAGCACAAATATATTTCTGATTTTACTTACTAGTATTCTTTGCTTCAAGTATTAGTCTAATTTTTATTTTCTATCTATAACACATACATATATACATACATATATATACACATATATACATACATATACATACATATATACATACATATATATACACACATATACATACACATACATACATACATACACACACATATATACATACATATATATACACATATATACATACATATACATACATATATACATACATATATATACACATATATACATACATATATACATACATATATATACATACATATATATATATATAGTATAACACAACAGAGATTTAAGTGTAGGAGAGAAGATACTATTACCATGAGCTAAGAATTTGCCTCTGTAAAGCCTGAGGTAAAGTAATCTCTTTGGACATCAGTGACCTTGTTCATAAAGTGACAGTAAATGACATCAGAGTCCTTTCTTATTTTGCACTGAACTATATTTACATTGTAGTCAGAATGTTAACAGATTACTATATAAAAGTAATTAAATTAGAGGAAGTTAAATGAAATTTAAATATATGGTAAACTATCAGATTTTCTTTCTTTGGTTTCACTTTCCTAACAAATGAGAAAATGTCTTTACCTGTTTCCTTTCCCCCTCTACTGCTGATCCCATTTCTTGTATTTTGAGTAGCATGGCTGATCCAGATTTCTCAAGAGATTCCCTTAGGTGCTTCTCCTGAGACAGTTGTCTCCTTAGCTACAGAGCAACAGTGTAGTTAGGTGAGACACAGGGATCATTGAATTTTAACAAAGATCAAAGTCACAAATAAAATTTACCAGACATACGATATCACCCCGAAAACACTCTTCATTCATTTAGCACTACTCAAGCATTTTGTTTTTTCCTAATGGTTAACCTTCTAAGAAATGTGACCATGTTTTCCTGTTACATGTCCGTTTCCAAATTTCTGGTCAAGAGCCATTAGAAAGTTGCAAGCAACATTTGAAAAAGGTGGCAAGGAGGAAGGCAGGAGGGATGAAAGATTAAGTAGCAAGAAAGGGTAAATATTGTTTTTTAGTGTGTGTATCTAGTTACACAGTGTTGCACTGTAAAATGTCTTATAATGAATTGCTGTTGAAAAAGTTTGAAAAACACTAGTATCATACCTTACTATTTGTACTTTTTGAATTGCTGTATTTTCTGACTTTTTAAACTTTTCCTGTGTTTTGATTTCTTCATCTATATATTTTTTATCCCATAGTATTACAAACATCTCTCTGAAAACTTTCAATTCTGTTTTGGAATTTAAAAGTAAAAACAAATAATACAGTAACTTAAAACTGTAGACAAAATTGACACAAGAAGTTGGGTACATTAACCTTATTTCTGTCAATAAATGAATATAGTAGGAGTCAAATAAAGAGAAAGGTTAAGAGGGTGTTGGGGCAGCTCCGACGTGGTGCCCTCAAGTTGGTCCTCACGGGGGCGCGACCCCCAAGTGCCACTTACCCCCGTTGCTGCGGTCTTCACCTAAGTGAAAGAATTAGTTCTCAATAATTGCCTGTGTGTCAATGGGGAAACTGAGGGCCTGAATGACACTTTAAAAAAAAAAAAGTTTCTGAGCATGGCTAACATGGAATGAAGCTCACTGGCTCGGCTGCCCAGCTTAAATAAACTTTGAAAGTTGGAATTTAGTGACAATATAATTTCTGGAGGCTTGGAAGTCCTGGCAGAAAAATGTCCAAATCTCACCTGCCTCAATCTGAGTGGAATCAAAATCAAGGATCTCAGCACTGTAGAAGCACTGCAAAATCTGAAAAATTTGAAAAGTCTTGACTTGTTTAACTGTGAGATCACAAACCTGGAAGATTATAAAGTATTTTTGAGATGCTGCAGCAAATCACATCCTTAGATGGATTTGATCAGGAGGATAACAAAACACCAGACTTGGAAGAGGAGGACGAGGAAGATGAAGAGGATGAGGAGGAAGATGAAGACCAGGTGGGTCCACCTGAAGGCTATGAGAGGAGGAAGAGGAGGAGGAGGAAGATGAAGCAGGCTCAAAACTGGGCGAGGGAGAAGAGGAGGTGGGTCTCTCGTACTTGATGAACGACAAAATCCAAGATGAAGAAGATGATGACTATGTTGAAGAAGGGGAAGAAGAGGAAGATGAAGAAGAAGAAAGTCTTCGAGAGGAAAAGAGGAAACAAGCTGAGGACGGTGAGGAAGACCATGACTAGGTTACCCTAGGACCAGACTCCCTCATGCTCCAGGGCATCACTGACCCGTCTTCACTGTCTCTCCATGCAAGGCGGCTATCCCTTCAGATACATGCAACTTTTTATAGGAAAAGTGGTTTTACTATTTTTGCCTTATCATTCCAAATAAGATTTACTAGTCTGTTACTGATTGTATTGTATGTAGAGAAAAATTTTCATTGACCCCATTGTGAAATTCCCTACAACTTATTTAGAATCTTAATTTTTCTAATTCTAGCTGTTAGTCATTTTTAGCCCATAATTAGAAAAATCACTTTTAAAAAAGAAAAAGGTTAAGAATCATTTATCATGAGGTAAAGAAACCCTTTCCAATTAAGATGGGAATTACAGAATGCTATTCATTTCAGAGCTTTAAACTGAAAGAAGTAATATTTTTAATCCGAGAAGTACAGATAATTTCTCTAATTACACATTTTAAACATTAGAAAATTATTTTAAAAGTGCAGAGAGACAAAGACTATTGGCATCAAATTGTTACAAGATAGCCTATTTTGAAAATATTCTTATTTTCAAATCATACCACAAATATTGAAGTTAGGCTTTTCCAATTTTTCACTATTCTATCTACATTATTTTCTTGAACAGCGATAAATAAATTTTTCATAGCCTTTCTAACTATTTTCTTAGGATAAATTGCTATAAGAGAAATCTCTAGGTATGGAGTAGGATCAAAAGAGGTGGGAAGAACACAAGGGATTACTGTGATGGCACATGGGTGACCTGATAGTAGGAATTTCAAGGGGACTATAAACCAGATGAGAAAGCATACATTGTACAAAAATGAAAAATGATATAAAAATATGTACATGGTAAATAAATCACTAGGTTAAAGGTATGAATATTTTTTAGACTTTTGATACATTGTGATTTTCCTTCCAACTTTACCTTCTTATCAGTAGGATTTGAATAAATCTCATCAGCACTATGTATTATCATTTTATTAAATCTCTGTTAATCTAATAAATGAAAAAGAACATCTCAATATATTTGCATTTCTTTACTGGTGATATTAAATACTTTCTTTTATGTTAATTAGCTCTTTATATAATTTCCAAACTGTTTTTATCTTTGTCCTTTTTTTGTTTTGGGTTGTTTCTAGTCAATTTTAAGTTCTTTATAAAGGAAGATGTTTAATTTGGTTAAGTTTTATCAGTTTTGCTTTTTTTCTACATGTAGACATTTTTAATTCTTAAGTTGTCAAATCTATTAACTTTTTAATTCTGTTTGAGAGTTTAGAAATTCCTTCCCTTATCCAATGATTAATTATGACCATCTTATTTAAGGATGGACCACATTTCAGTTTTGGTTCTATTTTTTAGGTGAGATTATACTTAACTTATAATATAGAATAGCTTAATAAAAGCTTTGAATAAAATTATATGTAGTATAATTTGTCCAAGATTTGTTTTATAAAAGGAATTTTTGTTTTGAGAATTATACTGTTAAGGTATTCATTTCTGAAGCATTACAAAGGGCTATGTCTAATGTTCATAAGAATTACATTTTTCCCTAAATTATTCAATTAATGAATTTCAAAATTAAAGTGACATATAGCATTGTATTAATTTTAATGTATAATTTGATATATGTATACATTAAGAAGTGATTATCATAAATTTAGTTACAAACATCACCATATAATTGTTTTTCTCATAACTTTCATGTTACACACTCAGCAACTTTCAAACCTACAACACAGTATTATAAACTATAGATATCGTGCTGTATATTATGTTCCCAAGACTTATTTTAACAATTTCTCCTGTCTCCTCCCCATTCCCTGTCTTTGGAAACCATCAAATGGTTCCCTGTAGCTGACTGTTCAGAACCATATTTTATATATATATATATATATATATAAAATATATATGTGTGTGTGTGTGTGTGTATACACATTATAAATTTTATTTATGTATCTTAGGAAGATATATATATATTAAGTCTCTGTATAGTCCTATTATAGGCCAAATTGTATGACCCCCAAATTCCTATGAATACATATGAATGGGATACAATTTTAAAGCCCTAACTCCAAAAATGAATCTATTTAGACACAGTCTTTAAAAGATTAAAGAGATTAATATATAAGGAGGTCATTGTGTGGATCCTGATGTAGTGTGACTAGTACCTTAATAAGAGGAGGAAATTTGAACAAAGAGACATGTAGGCTATATCCAGAGAAAAGGCCTTGTGAAAACACAGAAAAAGCTGCCATCCTCAAGCAAAGGAAGAGAGGACTTGGGAAAAACAAATAAGCAGACTCTTTATCTTGGTCTTCTAATTTCTAGGACTGTGAGAAATAAAGTTTTATTGTTTAAGCCACCTGGTGGCAATTTATTATAGTAGTTCTAACAGATTAATTCACACTTCCTGTCCCACATACCCTCAAAATGCATCTGTTTGACTAGAAAGTACTTACATGGGTTCTTAATAGAGTTCAATGAAAATTCAAGACCTTATTGCAAACAAACCTAAACTAGTACTTCTCTAATGAAAATAAGTGTCAATGGAGAAAGGATAGTCTTTTCAATAAATGGTACTTAAACAACCCTGCACACACAAAATTTAAAAACATCCACTCCACAAAAGATAGAGCTTAGAAATGAAAAGATGAGCTAAAGACTGGGAAAAAATATTTATAAAGGTATATTTCATAGAAGATTGGCATTCCAAAAAATATAAAGAACTGAGAATTCAGTAAAACAAAGTTATGATATGGACAAAAGATCTAGCAAATACCTCACCAAATAAGACAAACAGATGGCAAATAAGGATAGAAGAGCCTTAATTCATGTCATTAGAAGTGTAAATTAAAACAAGATGCCACTATATAGCTATCAGAATGGAAAAATGCAAAACACAGACAACATTTAATACTGATGAAGGTGTAGAGCATCAGGAACTCTCATTCTTTGCTGTTGTGAACATAACATGATACTGCCCTTTTGTAAGATAGGTTGCAGTTTCCTGAAAAGCTAAACATAAGCTTGTCATATGATTGTGTTGTTCCTAGTTATTTATCCAAATAAGTTCAGTATTTACATCCATGTAAAAATTTGCATTTCAATGTTTGTAGCAACTTTATTCATGACTGCCAAGACTAGAAAGCAACCAAGAGGTCCTTCAACAGGTAATGGATAAACTATTGTTCAATGATAAAAAGAAATGCGGTATCAAACCATAAAAAGAGTGGAGGAACTTGCATATGCTAAGTGAAACAAGTCAGTCCCCAAAGGGTGCCTATTGTATGATTCTAACGTAACAGTAACAAAATCATAGCCAGGAGCTTAGACAGTAGGGAGGGAGGGGAGGTAACACCATGTAGAGCACAGAGCAGTTTTAGAAACAGTATCATATTTTGTATGGTACTGTAATAAACAGAGTAAAACAATACAATTAATGATGATGGATCAATACTGGTTAATCAAATGTAACAAATGTACCACACTAATGCAAGATATTAATAATGGAAAGTCCTTGGGGGTGAGAGGAAGAGATAGGTAGTAACTGTTTTCTGTTACAATTTTTCTATAAACTAAAACTCTGGGGGGAAAAATGCTACTAAATAGTCAAAACAATTTTAAGCAATAAATTTGCTATAAACAATGAGTGATCATGCTTTTATTAGTAATTACTGGAAAACAAAATGCACTATGTAAGAGAATTTTCCAAATAATTGTACTTATCATCTGGCACACTAAAAATTCTAACTTTAAAATTTTTGTATGAGAATTTCCCTAAAACATGTATCTGTTTTTTTGTTTTGGATAATACATTTCAAATATTAACTCTTATTTGGGCTAATGTCAATTATTCTGTCAGGACATGGAAGATTTCAGGCCATCATCAGTATACTGAGTTAGTTATTTCTTCTGACTCTTCCACTGTTTTCATAAGTAAATTTTTAGTTACAACCACTTTTAGCAGCCACCTACTTTATAATTCCCAATCTGTTGCCTACTGAAATTTCAGTTGAAATGTGAAACTTTCAAGGTAAAATTAGATGAACAAGCTAATCAAAAGCATTTTACTTTAAACTACTTTTGTTGAAGTCTTTGTCTGAAAGTTTCTACATAACTCTAGTTTATCAGTAACTGCATGAATTTTGTGGTAACTAGTTCTGTTTTGGCTCAATGAACATTTAAAAATTTCTGGTTTTATGGAAGTATTGAGGCAAAAGACAGTCTCATTATGTAAGGATAGGTACTCACTTGCATTTCATGCAGCACATTTATTAAATCTTCCTACTACATGGCCACATATTTTCCTGCTTCAAAGGTTTCTTTTGGTTCTTGAATTTTTGGCAATTCCAATGCCCCCCCTCCTCCCTAACTATTTTTACCTTACCTCCTGAATTCTAAGATTCATTTTACGTTTTGTGGATTTCAGTTCTTCTTCTATAATGGCTGCATTCTTCTAAAAGTAGAGGGGGGGAGGAAAAGGCTGTATGTAATTTGAAATGACAGAAATTGTAGATGGTATTATGAACATGGTTTAATAGTCTTGAGTCTGAGTAATTATCACAGTGAGAGATTAAGAAAATGATTATTTTGATGTATGACTTCTATTATTTCCCATTTTAGATCACATTTACCTCTGACGTAAAATTCAAAAATCAGAAGTTGGTATTTACAATATGTCTCTGTATGTGTTTGTGTGTATATATATGTATACATATGTGTATGTGTTCTATTTATGCTGGCCTCAAAAAATATCTATGCTTACCAGCTGAAACTTAAAACTACAACTTCACAACTTAATTTTTTATGTTATTTCTTACTGCATCATGAGGCTTTAGATATTAAAGCCTCATAGTTGTCATTGGGCTTTATACTTTCTACCTTCAGTCCCTATTCAATACCATGTCTAGCTTTATCTTTCTTCAAAGAATATTCCTCTTCCACAAAAATACAGCCCTAGACCTAACAAGGTTTGTGCTTTCAATATAACCAGATTCCTAATAAATCTTCCCTGCAACCAAGCTCTTCTTACAATTTATACCATTTTCCTACAGTGAATATGTCACTTCCTTATAAAAAATCTTAATTATTTCTATGGGATCATGTCTAGCTGCTGATTACATTTGATTCTGAAATATTATAGAATTCCCAGCTAATTTACAACTTATTCCCAAAACAAATCCTCACTCTTGTTGCACTAATTTGTGTATTTTCCCTTACCTGTATCCAATAGAAAGATCTACATTCAAACTTAGGTTCTAGGAAAAAAATAGCCAAGTGTAATCTTCAAGAAGTGACATTTCCCTGGACTCTAATCTCTTATTAAAATGGGGGTGATAACTTACATCGTAACATTTTGCAAAGATTAAACAAAATAACTTAGCACATCCATTATACTGCCTGGTGACAGAGGGGAAAATAAAATGGCTTCTTTTCCTAATCTTTTATTTTTGCTACCTGTGTGTGTGCTCCTTAAAATTATCCTCACCTTTCCACTTAGCTTACTAAGGCAGTAGCTAAAATTCTCGTTGTTGACATTAACCTACCTTAATCTATTCTAGATAGAACATGTGCACCCTCTCAAACCCAATTGAGCACACACCCAGCACTTACTTTGCAATATTCACTTACTGTGATGTGCTTTCCTATAACATTTCCTATGCCCTATTTCTTTTTTTTTTTTTAAATGCTATGTCTCATCTCTCAGCTAGTGTCTAAGTCCTTGAAAAGCATGGACTCTAAATTCCTGGACCATCCTAATCACATATACAGGATACATTCAATTACTGATAATACACAATAGATTATCAATGTTAATAAATTTCAACTGTCAAGAATCCTCATATCATTATCACCTATTTTTAAAAGTCACTTTTATATGCCTTTTGCCTCCTCCAGCTAACATGACTATGAATCTGTATTTCAGAACTCTGGACTCAAACCTTTGTCTCTGAAGCAATCTCCAGAGTGGCAGTCAGTCTTTGCACTTCATCTTGTGCCTTGTCTTCTTCCTCTTTTACATCTCTCAGCTGCTGGCGCAAATTCATTACTTCAAGATGCAATAGCTTCAGGTCCTTAGAATGTTCTTCCTGTATTATATTCAGTCGATCTTTCAGAAAAGCTGCCACAGTACAGGGAGGTCATCGAACATTTCAAAGGTCAGGAAAAAAAAAGATTCAAATTCATCAAACACCCATAGAGGACCAAATTTCTGATAACACCCTTCTCTCTATACCTGTTTTCTGTGGATTCAAATCCTTGTCAGCTTGCATACGAAAGATGTTCAGCTTCAAGGACTGGATGAGGCTTTCCAGATGGCACATTCGATTTACCAGAAATTCACAGTTCCTCCACAAAATGTCTGTTTTTCCCAAACGAACTACTTCATTCTGGATAGGACTAATGATGCTCTGACTCATAGGTTCTTCTAAACCTTTTGGAGGTTCCAACTGGCTTCTGCTTAAAGATCCCAATGTAACAATATTAGGTCAAGTAGTGTGTACTGTGGTAATCCCAACCATCAAGTCAATGTAATAGTACTACTAGAATAGCATCTGTTACACCACCAAATTTAAATAGAGGATGAGGCCACCATGGGAATGGTTTCAATGACATTTTAAGTTATTTTAATCTGAATTTCAAAAGTTTTACATGAAAAATTACTGATACAGAAAACATGAGATGAGAATTCTATAAGGATGAACCAAGAAAGTTAATGTGGAGGCAACATATCAACATGTTTTTAGAGAAATTTAAACAATGTCATAATTATGTTAACATATATTCAACATTGACACAAATTTAATCTTTAACTGCTACAACTATTTCTTGGAAGGATGAGATCAACTATATGAAGTTTAAGTCTTAAGGTGAGACATTCAGGAAATACATATGTAATTTTAAAGAAAATCACACCACTATATTCAATATTCAATAATACTGCTTTTAATGGCAGTAACTTCAGCAGCTCAAGGGGGAAAACAGTTCTTTTGTTGTAAGCATGTTATTCTAAATTATGAAAAAATTTCAAGACTTAAAGTCTTATAATTTATAGTAAACTTGGAGGAGGAATGAAAAAAATACATGGGGTGAGTCAAGTTTACCTTAATAGTAAATGTATTTTTTGATCTGAAAAACAAGAACCAAAATTTTAAATTACATGAAAAATTACATACTTGCTTTTAATCAAGCATTAAGGTGAACAGAATATATCAAAATTTGTATACCAAATACTTTAAAAGTCTATTTAGGGGAATAATAGTAGTAGCTCTATCATAGGATGACAACACTCTTAAGCTTGCAAATATTTTCTAGTTAATGATCAATGGAAACTTTTCTCAATTCTTTTGTAAATACCTGTTTTATCTGCCTAACCATCCCTACTGTGACTTAATACCCAGTGAAGGAAAATTCTCCAAACTATAGAAATCTAGTATCATTTGATTTAATTTTCATGTTACCTTTTCTCACCAAAGTTAAACATTATTAGGTCATCTCTCAGAGAACTTGTCTGTTCCTCAACTAGTCTCATCCTTTGCTGAAGTACTGTGAATGTTTCAGAAGTTGTAGCATTGATATGGGTTGGAGAAACGACTGGCCTGGACATTGCAGTTTCCATATACACCTGAGATTAAAGTCATAATTTTAGTGTATTAAGTTTTATTATTGATCAAAATGGACACTGCCCTATCCTGTGGGAGGATTATATACCCATTGTGTGGGGTTCAAGAATGGTCATGTGTACTGTTTTATTAAATGTAGGCGGAAACTCTAAGATCCAACTTTTCATTCACCATCTCTTCCTTATCCTCTTGATTGAGGTGAGCAACATCCCAGATAGTACCTATTCCTTGCACCATGATCCCAGAGTGACCACATGAAGCAGAGCCATGACCCATCTAATACACAGTGTGAGAGTAATATATTCAAGCTGTTATAAACCACTGAGATAGTTCAATAGTTTGTTATTTCATCATAATCTAGCCTAATCTACTACTATTAGACACGCACTGGACGTCCTATGATTTGGCTAAGGGAGTTATTACCTCTGTCATTACCAGCCATTTTCCTTTTAATACATTCTCATTCTAAAAAGAATTTATACCTAGACATCTGAGCTTAAAACAGATTTGCAAACTATTCCGAAGCAGTGATTTTTAAAAGTAATTTGTGAATTTAACTACATAGCAAAAGATAGTAGCTATTAACATCAAATATCGAGAACCTAAAAACCAAATCACATGAGAATAAATGGTAATATTACTCTTTTAGGTAACAGTGACAGAAGCAAAACTGACAAGCAGTCCCAACATGTAAATTAATCATGTGTTCATGATTCTAAAGTTCAATAACAAGGTCATTGGAGAAAACTTAAAAAACGTTTTTCTTTCAATTTCATCGTAAGACATTTCTAAAGTAGACTGTGAATCTTAACCACAACTAGCCATAGTATTCAGTGTGAATGTGCTCACAAGATTCCACAGGGATATCAGTGACAACTTTTTCCCAGACTTGCTCTGTAATCAGATCTCTCTTCTCACCGCCTAGACAGCAGAAGTGGGAACTGTGTCAGGTCCCAACCACTGAAGGTGGTTCCTAGGACCCAGGACAAGAATAAAAAAAAAAAAGAGTAAACTGCTGGTTGGATTTGACAAAAATGTGAGAAGTTGTAGAAAAGCTTAGCTCTTTGACAATACTGCTGCAACCATTGAGGACATTTTCAAAATAGCTCTCCAATCACCTATCTTCCTTTCATAGGTCACAAATAATGGCCTCTTTCTTTTGTGTGGCTTTATTGAAGGATACTGACAAATATAATTGCATGTATTGAAGGTATACAATGTGATGATTTGATATATGTAAACATTGTAGAATGGCTATTAAGGTCAAAATTAACTTCATCTCAGATAATTAACAGTGTGTGCATGTGTTAACACTTAAGATCCACACTAGCAACTTTTATGAGCTATAATTACACTATGCTGTACATTAGATCAGAAAGAACTTATTTGAAAAGGTAACCTATAAAATTGGGGAAAATACTTGCTAACCACTGCTGATAAAGGGCTAACATTAAAAAATATAAAGAACTCATACAACACAATAGCAAATAATCAAACTTTTAAAATGAGCAAAGGATATGAATAAACATCTTCCCAAGATGAAATAGTATATGGATAAGGAAAGATGTTGAACATCAGCATTAGGGAAATGCAAATCAAAACCTTCAGTCTATTTTTTTCCCACCTGCTGTTTGCCTGCTGCTGACCTAAAAATAAACCAGACCTGGAGTGAAGAGAAAAGGTATGGAAAAGGGTGTTTACTTGGGGGTTTAATGCATACTTATCTGGCTCCTTTGTCCTCTCTACAAAAAGTTGAAAAGTTTACATAAGCAACATCCCTTACCTGGTATATCTAAGTGACACATCATGAGTCAATGAAAATTTCTCTCAGGCAGAAATACCTGCTGGAGCTTCTGGCAGACTTTTGCTTTTCTAGTAACAAGGATAGAAATGATGGCACCTGTCACTGCCTTCCTATGATGCCCAGTGCTTTGAGGGTTGTCAGTAAGCATGTCATGTCTCACATTTAAAAATAAACCGAACCAGGAGTCACTAGCATGTGATTAACAGGAAAAGGTCAGAACAGCTCAGATAAGCCTGACATTTTTTGTAAAACCAGTAACTTTTAAACTGTTTATGGGAGAAAAATTAACTCAGTTTTTTTCTGTTGACTGCAGCAAAAGGATCTCTAGCAGATATATACATTTGGAGAAATGAAAGATAAAAGAAATGAAGTGAAAGTGGGAGGGGAAGACAGTTTTGTGTCAAATTTTATGACCAGATAGGTGATTTTAACAAAGGACTGCCTACACTTAATTTAAATTAGATCCCTAACATATAGTAGTATAAATAACAAAAGTCCATCTTTGGGGGAAGAATAGAGGAAGTGAAACACAAATATTCCCCACATATAGTGAATGGGATATAGACATCGATCTAAAATGTTTTCAGGTTAACTAGTGAAATGTCAGTTTGTTGGTATTTCCCTAAGTTACCTATATGTTTACAATGCTTACATTTACTTTACAGGGTGTGTGCATCTTGTCATAAACAAAATGCAAAAAACTAAAATTATTTCATTTGCTTAAAAAGAAAGTCCCTGCATCTTTGCCTACCTGAACCTAATCTATACTGACCTCTTCAGGCTTCTAGATGGAAAAGTAAGGGGAGAGGGAAGGACGAAACTTGGCCCCCAGCTTCTGAGGGGTGTAAGTTTTAAAAAAATTCACCCTAAGAACAGAAATTGAGGTGCCTAGGCTGACTGCTGGGGGGCAGAAGATAAAGTTTTTGAGTGAAATACATGATGGTGTTCTTGAAATATTCTTAATCAGAGGAATGTGTTCCGGTCATCAAAGAAATTGCCTCAAACACAAGTCAATCTACCCTTTGGGGATCTGTTTAAAACAGGGACAGCTTTCATGCCTGTCTGACTATGTGGGTGCCACTCTTTCTCCTTTTCCGAATAAAGCTGTGCTTTTAAAATGTAAAAAATAAAAGCAGTTCTCATGGTTAGCAATAAATCTGTCCCCTACTAACCACCGTAGGAAAAGAACTGTCAAGGTGGAAGAGTTCTTGAAGAGAGGGAGAGAGCAATGGTGGATGTAGAGCCAGCTTTAATATCCACCAGAGAGCAAGACTCTTTGACCCTAGGAGTCTGTTAAAGGAAGAGAACGGTAAGGACTTGTGATCCAGTGAATGCGTGGAGCTGGGATTTAGATTCAGGAGAGTCTCATCTTCACTATTGTTACTCATATCCCTGCCCATTCTCCCTCACCTGGCAAGGGTAGTGTATGTGCCACTTTGGACACATTATCCACTGGCTATTATAGCAGATTCCCAGAAACTGTAACTCCATGGCTCTTCTTAGGCTATAAGGTCTTGCAAGAAAATCCAGCTCTACTTGCTAATTTCCCAACAGAAAGACTAATGCTTTAGCGAATTTGTATTTCACCGTTTTTGAAAAAGGACAAGAATCACTGAATGAAGACTGAACCTAAGTTTGGATGCTGGTAGTAACAATACTAATAAACCTCTATTTTCATAAAAGCTCATTCACAACTACTTTCATAAATATATCAAATTCTGTCTCTATGCTTAAGCAAGTATTAACTAATACCAACGTTTGAAGAATTCACGTACAAGCCAGGTATCTTTGAAAAGGGAACACCTACCCTTAGCACAAGGCTCCAATCACAACTACCTGCTGGGAGCTCCAAAATAACAGGCTAGGAATTCAAAGTGTATCACAACCTCTGGAAAATAATTTGGCTACTGTTTTCGTTCAGTTATACACCAACATTTGCTGAATATCCACCTGGAGCCAAACACTGTTCTGGTACTTCAACAGAACTTAGCTAGTTATATATTTTCTAGCACAAACACCAGGTACTGGGGAAACAGCAAGGGACGCATGTAAATCCCTGACACCTCATTTCTAACAAGCAGGCTAGGGCAGATAAGAGGTAGCAAAAATTAAAGGGGAAATGTCGGTCCTTGGAACCCAACCTCCAATCTTCGAAAGAAGTACTAGTGGTATGGGGGCGTAAATGGAGGCTCTCTTGCCTCCCTCGGCGGGAACCAGGCAACGCAAACTTTGTTCCGAAACCAGTTTCACCAACATCCAGGTCCGAAACGCTTGAGTCAGACTTCAGAGGGAAAAACTAAGCTCCGCCAGGGCAAGGACAGGAGAGTGAGGTTTTGTGGCCTCTCAGAGCCGCTGACTCTCTGAGGAGCACACGCCTCCTGGCCGGCTCATCCGCCCAGAGCCCAGCACCTCACCCCACAGTCCAACCGTCCACCCGGGGATCTGTCCCCCAGCAGGCAGGCGGGTTTCCATAGAACTAAAACCACGGCTTAAAACTACCCGCGACCCGCCGTGGTAGCTCCTGTACGCAGGCGCACCTGTGGCAGGGCATGCCGGGAATTGCAGCTTTCCCGGCCCTGGAGGGCCCTGCGCCCGGGGCGGGACCCTGGCCGGATTCCGGCGGCGCGCACGGAACGCGCAGCCCCGTGACCCGGATGACGACAGGCCTCCATTGTGCTCGCGAATGGAGCACGACGGGATATGTAGTTTCCGCCTACTCACGTCGCACAGGTCCGGTTCTGTCCAATTGGTCCAGCTGCTCGCCTCATATCGGTGAACGTTGGGAGGTTCGGTAAACCGGCAGACACAAACCCTGCAGCAGGCAAGAGTCCAAAATTAGAAAATGATTTAGTTTTAGGAACACAAAGTATAAAGTTACTTCGGAATAATAGGAAAGTTTTAAAGATGAGCATTAAATATGTTGAAGAGTTTAAACATTCTCAAAGGAAAACCCAAGCCCCCTTTTACCCTTATCCATGAAAGAAATCTGCTTTCTTGTCTTGTGTCTCTTCAACGTATTTGTTTGTATTGTCAACAGATAAAGGACTTAGTGTTTCTAAAGCTGACTGTAAACTGCTAAGAAGAAAGAGCATGAATCCACAGCTGTTTGAATTGTTTTGCTTAGAGTGGGAATTCACATTTAAGGAGAGACGTGCGTGGGGAAAAAAAAAAAGTTGTAAAGCACACCTGCTACCACTCCCATTCCTCGCTTCTCCATGGGGCGCAGGTGAGAGTAACTTCAGAAGAGTGAGGTTGAGTTCTTATTTGCTTAGCCAGTGGCTGATTGAAGTGATCTAGTTCTTCTGACTCTTCTGATAGTTGAGCCTTAAACTGATGGAGAGACTGGCCAGCAAACCACAACTGTGAGACATCAAATTGATCCCACCTGGTGTAAGAGAAATGGGCCCCCATACATTATTCAGGTGAAGAGACCAAATAAAACTTCCAGTATGAAAGGAGGGAGAGTATTCTAGAATATCAGTGTATAAAGCCAATTATTCTTTCAGTGTGTATATTTGCTTTTGCAATGACCTCTGTTTTGTGGAGATAAGGCAGATATATGCATGCAACAGATAATCTGGGCTTTAGTGAATCCATGTTAATCAAGGCAGACTGATTTAGTATTTTTAATCTCTTTCCCTCTTTTCCCACCACCTAGCAAACCATATTAAGAATTTCAGTAATGACAGAAAACAACTTTAAGCTTTCAATAAACTAATTCATCTCTAAGGAGCCAGGCTTGAAATACCTGATAATTCATTATGAAACTGCTCTGGGAGTGGGGGGATACAGTCACTCAAGGACAGTGTCCAATAGAGGACAGGTCACTGTGGGTTCTTCACCCATGTGCACAATTGCAAGACTGCCCAGGAAACAATAGGGCTTATTAAACCAACAAGAGAAATAGAACTTCTAAAGGCCACAAAGCAGCCAGCTTTCTCACCTAGTTAGTCGCCAGTGTCCAAACCTAAACAAAAGTTGCTCATCCAAGATGCCATTGTCCACTGAGATGATGCCACCACAGCAAGAGTCCAAAGGGTCAAGATATGCAATACGAGACAGCAAAGGAGGCAGCATCACTGGGAGGTGACCCAGACACAGAGTGTCACCCGTCAGCAGCTCTAGCCAGCACTGGTCAGTAGTTCTGGTCAGTACAGTTAATTGCATTATAGCTCCTTATGAGTTGTTGGCTCACACCAACAACAAACAGCTCTTTTAGCCATCAGGCCTGAGGCCTAGAGCTCCTTTCAGGTGATGTCAGAGGCAGGCCAGAGGCAGAGAGCAACCCACTGAGACTTTGCCAACCTGTTTGACTTCTCTAAGAAACTTTTCAGTTTCTCGTCTTCCTTCAGATAATTGGTTGCTGGTTGCATGGGAGAACACCTAGTCCAAGCAAGCGAGTGTCCAGTCCAAGTAAGAGTCCAGTGAGTCCAACAGAGCAGGTCAAAGCAATTCCAGAGTATCTCAAGTGAGTCTAGTCCAAGCAAGTCTTGAGAGTGCAGTGTCCCAAAGTGCAAGAGCCCATGAGCTCAAATGCATGTCAGAGAGCAAGCGAGAGTACAGCCTGCCCCAGCCTGGCTACTGCCTTCCCTTATCTTCTCTCTCCTGGCCCCCCAGCTGCCAGTCTGATTGGACCAGTCTCAATCCGATGGCTGATTGGACTATTTACCAATGAGCTCATAGCTTACACCTGATCCATCCATTCCAAGCTCCAGGCACCAAATCCACAGTCCTCTCTAAGGCCTGCACCTGGAGGGAGACACCGTGTTGGAGCTAGACTCATGGGACTCCAAGAGCTGCATGCCCAGGGGCAGCCCAAACTCCATGGGGTACCGGACACAGACTGTTACTTGCACAGCCCACACACAGTGTTCTGGGGTCACATGCTGGAGCCCCGAGGAAGGGGGGATGTCTTTGGTTTCAGTTATATTAAATGTTAATTTTATTCTCCTAAGTGCCTGATCACATTCACTTTTTAAAATTCTCAACTGATAAATAATTTTCATACTGTTGACTGCATTCATAAAGTAGGATCTTTTTAGTCATGGAAATCCTAAAGATTCCTTGAGGACCACATTTTCCCTCACTTCAGTACTAAAATAGCCTTCTAACTGGCTCTCAGTCACCCTTACCTAGTGCATCTGTTATATCACTACTAAAATGAACTTTAGAAAAGTAAACCAAAAACATTTAATATGTTTTAAGACATTTAATTTTTTCCCTTTGAACTAGTAGTTTTCCACTGAACGAAATCAAGCCCAAATTGCTAATTGCTTAAGTATAATTTGCCAGTCTCATTTGCACCTAGTGCTCTCAAGGGATCTTGAAGTCAGGCCTACTGACATGGCATGTCTTCAAGCTCGCAGCTTCTGCACCTCTGCCAGGCTTGCTTTTCCTGTTGTTAGTGTGATAAACTCAGACATTTATTTATTTATGCATACAAGAACTGGGGTACAGGCCAGAGGTATGGGGAGTGAGAGGATTCATCAGAGACAGTGGGGAGCAGAACAGGTGGATTTACTGAAATACACTGCTGAGGGGAGCATCAGGCAAGACAGGAGAGGTCTGCTGTGCCATGTGGGTCAGCTCCCGGGCAGAGATGGAACTCGTGCTGCAGCGGCTGCAGACAGTCTCATAGTGCTGTGCTCTAACCCATTGCACTATGAAGGAGGGACCTAAACTCAGACATTTAACATCTTCTATGAAACTGTTATTCCCTCCCAAAATTCTTATTGTGCACCTTATAATCATCAGTAGGTGATCAGCTACTTTAGGACAGTAGTCTATTTTAAGTGCCAAGCGCAATGACTGGCACACATTAGAGGTTTGGTAAACCTTATTAAGTGAGTGAATGAATACACTTTGAATGCTTTACTGAAAGTCTGTCTCATTTTCTTGATGACTTACATATTCTGTTGATAGGCCAGCAAAAGGCATCTGCTTTCTTCCAGAACTGGTATGATTTGACATTACAATTACACAAATGACAACAAAGCTACCTGCAATCACTTCCCCTTGGAGTTGGACATGCATACTGTAGACAAATGAAAACACAAAAATTTTCATACCTTGTTGATACAACAGAGGAATGAGGATGGTAAATGCATGAACTGATTCCTCACCTTATGTGGGCAAGCCAGACCTTTTGGTGAAGTTTTGGCTGTGGTTAGAAAGATTAAAATTTAGAAGTCTTTAATGGACTGGTTTGCAACCCAGGGACATAAAGGTAGACTTATTAACTGAATCACTCTAGGATAGCAAGACTACAAGTCTTCATCACTCATTTTCACCAACTAAATTTTGTGTTCAAATAGATTTTCATATTCTTTTGATTATACTTAAAAATAAGGTCAAGGTTTTGTTGATGTTGCTGCAGCTGCTTCATATTTCCTAAGATTATTCTTTTGATCTCAATAGGATGACACATAACCAGCAAAAGAAACATCAGTATTTTTAGAAAAAGATTTTTTTATTTATGCATATAAGAATTGGGGTGTAGGCCAGAGGTGTGGAGTGATGAGAGGATTCACCAGAGACAGAGTGGGTTGTAGAATAGGTAGATGCGTTGAAACACAGCTGAGGGGAGCAACAGGCAAAACAAGAGAGGTCTGCTGCACTATATGGGTCATCTCCCTGGTTAAGGATTGAATGCAGGCTGCAATGGCTGGTGACAGTTTGGTAGCACTGACTGTAATCCCTGCTGTGGGTGTATGTGTGTGGGGGTGTGTGTGACTTGTATTCATTTAATTGACTCAGACAGCTCAGCACTTTTATTTCTAAAATTTTCTGATTGAGTAATATTGCCCATCTACTGATTCTGTCATATATTAAACTAATTTTCTCTGTCTCTAAAATTTTCTCCTGTAACAATTTATGATTTATTTTTAAAATTTAAAGAACTTTAAACAGATGGTAACTTCCTTCAAGATAGAAGAATTCTAAAAATGACTACTAACTTTTTTCTGGCTGTTGTTTTAAAATTTATTTTCTGTTTTATCAATGTAACATTGTTTATAGAATCATGTATGACTTAGGGGACTAGCTTCATACTGCCTCAAACGTGTATTCCCAGAGGACACAACACCATGAGGTGCACCCATAGTCCTCTACCAGAGACCATTGGGCCCTTCCCACCTTTATTTCCATCTCTCCCTTTCGCTCCATCTCTAATAACCTCAACCCTGTGGTCATATTTCTCAGGCATGTCTGCAATTTTTCATAATAAAAAATCCAGAGAGAAAATTAGATCTATACTTATATGGAAAATAGTTGTGATATATTGCTTTCTAAATGCTACTGGGGAAAATAATTGAATTTGGGGGCCAGGAGAAACATGGCTCAGTTACTTTCTAACTTTGTGATTCTGGGAAGTCAAATCTGAGACCCAATTTTTTATCTTCAACTTGATGATATGATGGTTAAAATAATTTTTAAAATTATTATATTTGTCACTAGCAGAAATAAAGTTCTAAAATGCTTCTATTCCTTTTTAAGATTTCTTTATTTATGCATATAAGAATGGTAGGGGGGTTGGATGAGAGGATTCACCAGAGACTGA